TACGCAGATGCCCGACAGTGACAACTTTCCAATACAGAGCATTGGTGTGACCCGAAGTTACAGGTTAATCTAAGCCCAACTTTAATGAAGATCTGTTACCGTAATGCAAACCTATTTTTCAAACTTTCGTTGTCTATGGGATTTGAACTCTAGACCTGCTACTTGAATAGGGTGACAACTTGACCACTTCACTAAGCTGCCACACCCCTAATACCTATTTTTGCTAAATATTTGTAACTGTATTTTACAATAACTTAAATTCTGTAAAATTTATTAAATAATATACCCTTTTGATGCAAAGTATAGTATATTCGTTCTCTCCTGTCAATCATACTATTGATTGTACAATTTCATAGTTTATTAAACTTATACTACAATATACTGTTTAAATATACTATACATGCATATTCCCTTGCATTTTGTTCCTTCTAAATATATGTATTCAGAAGCTTTTAGAAAAGCAATAAAAATATTAGATTCTTTTTACTTTGTACTACTGAAGTATGTATACCGAAACTAAAATGAGTTGCTGTAATTTATACTATATATATAATTTAAGGTTTTGGATTTCCCGTCAAAATTCTCAATAGCGTGAGAGTAAAAGCCTACTCTCACATATCAGATCAAAATTTACTAAAATCATAGTAAGTATCGGCAAGATTATATTTATTTTAATCTGATGTAGATATTAATTTGGCGCACAACATATACATGAATACTTCTATGCAAAAATCTTGAGAATTTTTGAGATAAGCCACCTCATGATAACATTATATATGTACTAAATTTTGAATAATTAAATAACCTTTATCGTTGAATCAATAAATTTGGCTTATCTCAATGCATTCTTCTATATTCAAATGCGGTTTTAGAGTTCCTTTGTCATAATAAACATGAATTACATTATAGATTTTCACACCATGCTATAAGTATAAATAAGCTTTAAGAGTTTTAGATTTACTGTATAAATTACTATCTTCCTTCTTTGTTGGTTTGGTCAATTCATTATTATAAATCTACTAACAAAACCAGTCAACAAAACCAAATAAAAACCCACTAACGAACCTGTTAACGAATCCATTAACAACTTCAAAAAAAAAAAAAAAAAAAATTAAGCACCAACCATTAATGATCAAAAATTTTGCTAGCTTATATAGTATTTCTAGTTACTGAAAAGCATAAAATTTTACTATAAAACGGTTTATAATATAGATGATCGTAACCATGATGAAGACAGTATAATAGATACCGATAACTTAATTTCTACATTAGTTATATCAGAAATATCAGAATTAATTACTGATGAATTGACTAATTCACAAAGATATAGATCTCCTGTCTGTAAGCAATTTTCTTTATTAGAAAATGAAAAAAAAGCTAATTGTAATTATTGTAAAAATAAACTTAGCCATAAAAAAGGCAATGGAACATCTCACTTTCAGCATCACCTCAAATCATACAACAAGTATCAAAAATCGGCATCTAATAGTAATTCATCAAGTCTACCAGAAGGTCAAACACAATTAGATCTTAGTTTATTCGTAAAACGACCTTCGAAAATTTCAAGTAGAAAAAACATAGTTGACATGATAATTAAGGATGAACTAAGTTTTTAGTTTATAGAGAAACCGGGTTTTCGAAAATTTCTTAATGGAGTGTTGCCTAATTTAGCCATCAGTGCTGATATAGTAAAGCGAGATATTATGAATTCCTATGGTGAAAGAAAAGCTTTTGTTAAAAAAATTCTTCAAAATACAAATAGTA